TGTGTTTACATAAAACCATTTTATCTCTACCAGGATCAAGTCTTTTGTAAGGCTAATGGGTCTTGCCAACTCAAGACCAAATCAGTCCCAAATACCTTTGGATTACAACTGAGACACTTCAATATAGTACTGAGAAAATCAATTTTCCCTTCAATTACCAGGCAATGGCAGCTGAAATTTAAAGGAACAAGGGTGTCTATGTGGGTGATGGCAAAATCCCTACTCAGCCATGGAAGCCCATTGGGTAACCTTGGGCAAGTCACACTCTCTTAGCCTCAGTGAAAGGCAATAGTAAAACTCCTTTGAATCAATTTGTCAAAATAAAAACCCTCGATGGTCTCCTGAAGTCCTACTCCAACACACTGGCTCTGGGATATCCCATTTCAAATTACAAACCTCAACACACACAGGTCACTTCTAATGATGCGAGTTTAACTTCCATTTGTAACATGACAATTTGAAATTTTAATGTCCAAATTTTCCATATTATTCAGAAGCTACTGGTATTTCATCCTGTTTCCAATATCTACACTAAAGCTTTATGAAGCCAAGTTAATCTCTCACCCCACTCACCCTACAAATACAGTTGTTTTAATGATATGTTGTTAATTTTATGAATTTCTCCTTTTGTTTTTAGATTGTACGCCAGAAGCAGGTTTTTATCTATACTTTGCTACTTACTATGTACAGTTCCATGTAAATGCACAGCGCTTTATAAATAATAATAATAATAATAATAAGAAGAAGAAGAAGAAGAATGAAAATATGCATTACCTTCACCATGTGCAACCCAGATGCCAAGGGTGGAACCAGCCATACCCTGCAACATCAGCGCTGGACTCTCCTCAATGCCAAGGCTCACAAAACGTGACTCAAAACGCCCAGAATTGTTAGGACTCAACAGCAACCCAGGTTGAATGGTGCCACCTAGGAAAGAGGCAGACCAAGGGTTTACCAGAGAGGATCAGATACAAAATTTCCCGTGTGCTCAGATACCAAAGGTGCATTCGGCAGGTGTCTACAGTCATCTCACTTACCTGCATCTGCAGCTCCCACCCAGCCTAGCAATGCCATCAACTGGCAGCCATTACACACGCCCAAGCTGAAGGTGTCTTTGCGCCGGTGGAATGCCTGGAACTGAGCCCGAGCCCGGGGGTTAAAGGTCACTGACGCTGCCCAGCCTGAAACCAAAACGTAGAAACTTGACGTTAGAACAACAAAAATTCCCTTTCGGATCACAGCAAGGCATTGAAAAGCCACCTTTGGACTCCATCTTATCCCAGGAGATGGAGTCCCAAAGGTGACTTTTCCAACCTCTGACTCATGTCTCAAATCTTGTCTTCTCCAGCACTCTGGCAAAAACCACAGACCTTTGGGAACTGACAAGAAGAGTACAATGCAAAGGGGTAGGTCACCATTTCAAATTCCTTGTCCATGGAAAGGAAAGCATCCAGGGGTATCCATATAGCAAATGCAGTGACATCAAAAACCCACCAAAGGGTGATACCTTCATTGGACCAATCAAAATGCACAAAATATATGTTGCAAGCTTTCAAAGCTCCACTGGCTTCTTCATCAGGCAAGGTGTTAAAAATCATACAGGAGGGGGAAAATGGAAGATGTTAGTCATAGGCCTGCATTTTGCTGTCTTTGTTCTCAGTTCAGATGGTATAGAGGAGTATTTCTTGCAGGCTGGCATCTCCTCCTTCTGGCCATGCAGCTACAGGGAGATTCTCAAAGTCCAGGAAATTTAACATCCATTTGCAACACAAAAAGCTACCGGTACCTTGCTTGCAATCCAGTATGTCGCCATCCTTTGTGAGGCCACAGGCCCCTTTGATAGGAATATGACAGTGAATTTCTTAAGAAAGCTTCATGCTTTTACATCAGGAAAACTTTAGGCGGTGTTGATGTAAAACATGCCAATGCAGTCCCAATTTTAGGGGAAATAATGTGAAGAGGAAAGTTTATGGAGCTTGTGAAGGCTTTTACCAAGGTAAGGCAAATATCACCTTTCCGCAAGAGGTAAAGCAGAGACACTTACCTTTGGCAGAGCCTAACACATCTGCATAGCTGAAGCCTCCAACGAAGACCAAGCCCCGGAAGGAATCCAGCGTCATCTCACCAGAGCATAAGTCTTCCATGGTGAGGTCCCAAACCTTCGAGGAGGATCAAGATGAGACAGGAAAAGATTAAATATCAAGGCAAAGAACTTTCAGGAGCAGGAGATGAAATGGAACAGTTTTCTCTTGGTCCTAGTTTAACTGAGGCCCATCCACACTACACAGTTCTAACTCTCTGATTACACTTCAGCTGCCACAGCTGCCTCCTAAGGAATCCTGGGGTTTATGGTTTTGTGAGGCACTAGAAATACCCCTCCTTAAATTGCAAATCCCAAAATTCCATAGGATGTCATCATGGCAGTTAAAATGGGATACAGCACTATAACTTTGTAGAGTGAACGGGGCTTTTGGACAGCCCAGAGGAGTTATGGAGTATACCCTCGGAAGCCCTGTGTCAGCCCCACTTCACACATACAAAAAATTTTGCTGCCTACAATGCAGATTTGACCTCTAGAGACCTGCAAGGAGCTGAAATTCTCCATTTAATGTTATTCGTTCCCAAGCTTTTAATG